TTCAGTGTTTTGGCCTCCAGTGATTAATGTGGCAGAGAATTCTAAAGGCTCACCACTCTCGGGTGAAGAAATTTCTTCTCATCTAGATTCTTCCTGTTGCTGAAATAAAACCGCATATCAATCAAGTCTGACATTCCCAGTCTACAATAACAACATTGTAGGTCACCTCATATGATCACATTATCTTCCATACAAACACCTGCAACTCAACTATACATTTAAAGCAAGTGATCAGTCATCATGGAATATAGAAACATTTGTTGGGGAAGTACCACACCTAGTTTAGAAGATGCTGATGATTGTATTATTTACTCTTATCCAGCTTAATAAAGCTATTCCACCCAGTAGGCCCAGGCCAGTGATTATGGACCACATGAGTCTCCTAACACTTACTTTTACTTAATGCTATCAAGATATCCTTTTCTTTCTTTCTCCAACGTGTGTTCATCTGACTCCTCTTCACTACCGATGTGCTAATCACTTCAAATACTCCTTATGGTAGTGATGTCAACATTCTAACAATTCTTTGATAAACCTGTCATTCTTGGAAACTCTCTTGGTTTGTTGACAACCATCTTTCATTGATGATCCCTGCTGGTTTGACACAAAAGTAGAAAACCTGAATTCCAAGTGCACTCCATTAAACCATTTTGTAACCTTAAAAGACACAAACAGTTCACAAAACATCTGTCTTTTATCAAGAAAGAACTCCAGTCTGTTAAGTACTTCCTGATGAGAGTAACAGTCCTGGCATCCTACTAACAAATCATTTTGAACCTTATCCAGTGCCTCTTTATGTTGCTCATTTTCCATTACTGTCCTGATTTGGAAATATTTTGTTCATTCAGTATCACTGGGTCAAAATCCTGGAACTCCCTCACTGAGAGCACTTTGTATGTACATACACTCCAATGAAATGCAGCCGTTCAAGTAAGCAGCTTACTGTCTCATCCTCTCGAGAACAACTCGGGATGGGCAATAACTGCTGGCTGAGCCACAATGCCTACATCTCTTGAATGAAATAAAGAATATTTGGACAACAAAACTGTTCTCAACATGAACTGGTTGGACTGAAGGGTCTGTTTCCACCCTGTATAATTCTATGACTATGACTTGAATATTGTTTCTTTGAATAACCTTGGTGAGAAACCAAGTTTAAATAACTTCTCTGTATTTCAGTACTATCCCTTTGGAATGAGCCTCGTATTTGTTTGCTTTTTTATGGCAATATTAATCACCATTGCTACTTTTAGTGATTTACTTCACTGTACAACTCAATCCCTCTACTCCACTGGACACTTATTGTGCAATGAGTATATGACCTCATTGTTCTTCTTACCGAAATGTACCCATGTCCCATTGACCTACATTGAAGTTCATTTACCAAATATAGACATTCTTCAAGTTTCTAAAGTGTCTTAATTTGTTGCAGTCCTCTTTTCTACTAAACTACATCTCACAATCTCAGGTTGTCTGCAAACTTTGAAATTGCGCTTTTAAATTCCTGAGTCAAAATTGTTTATATAATGTAGAAATGTACAAAATATGAGCAGGAGCAGGCCATTCAAGCCTGCTCCGTCATTTAATACGATCATGGCTGATCATCCAACTCAATAACCTGTTCCTGCTTTCTCCTCATGCCCTTTGAAGCCTCTAGCTCTAAGAACTATATCTAACACCATGAAATTATTCAATGTTTTGGCATCAATTGCTTTCTATGGCAAAGAATTTCACAGGTTCATCACTGAGTAAAGAAATTTCTTCTCTGTCTTAAATGGCCTGTGATCCCTGGTTATGGAATTCCTGGTCATCAGGAACACCTTTCCTGTTTTTATTCTGTGTAGTTCTGTTAGAATTTTGTAAGTTTTTATGAAATCCAGCCTCGTTCTTCTAAACTCCAGTGAATATAATTGTAACAGATTCAGTGGGTCTTCATACATTAGTCCTGCCATCTCAGGAATCAGTCTGGTAAACTTTTGTTGCTCTCCCTCACACCCAGAACATCATTCCTCAGATAAGAAGACCAAAATTTCACACAGTACTCACTGTATGGTTTCACGAAGGCTGTGTACAATTAATGTAAAACATCCCTGCTCCTGTACTCGAATCCTCTTGCTACAAAGGCCAACATACCACTTGCCTTCTTGACAGCCTGCTCCAACTGTATGCTTACTTTCAAAGACTGGCGTACAAGGATATCCAGGAGTCATTGCACCTCATATTTGCTCAATCTATCAATATTTAGACAAAAATCTGTCTTCTTGTTTTTGCTAGAAAGTACATAACTTTACATTTATACACATTATACTTAGCTGCCATGCATTTGGAAGTGCGGATGGTCACTGATGATTGCACAATGTTCAGCATCATTCATGACTCCTCAGATACTGAAACAGTCCATGTCCAAAAACAACAAATCTGGACAATTTCCAGGCTTGGGCTGACAAGTGGCAAGTAACATTGGTGCCACACAAATACCAGGCTATGACCATCACCAATAAGGGACAATCTAACCACCGCCCCTTGACATTCAATGGTGTTATCATCACTGAATACCGCACTGTCAACAGCCTGGGGGTGATCATTGACCAGAAACTCAACTGGACTCACCACATAAACGCAGT